ACTTGCAAACTTTAAAAGTAAGCTCAACTCAACTCAAACTCACAAGCTAAAAATTATCAAGTTCAACTCAAACTCGAAATATAATATTGAAACTTGAACTCAAAAAGGCTTGAACTCAAAAAAAAAATTAGAAGCTCGATTGAAGCCTAAAATTCGAGCTTGATTGAAGTGAAAGAATAGTTCACTCAATGCTCACCAAAAGGCTCCATGATTTTGAATGTCAAATTACCTCTATTATTTATAGAAGTTAGTTGTTATGCGCTTCTATGTTTCTTAGCAATGTGAGATTGTTTTGTTCTCATATTTTTACTCTTTAGACTTTTGGGATGCTATTCTATGTTTCTTAGCCATGTGGGATTGTTTTTTAAAAAAATAAACCAAACAATATCATTTTGTTATGATATTTTTTACCCCAAATTTATTTTTTAATTATAATTATATTTATTATTTAATATGTTTTACCTTAAATATTATGTTATAGTTAATTTGAATCATTTTGTTTCACTTGATTTTATGATTTTTAACTTATATATGTTATGACTTGCTTTGAATATGACTTATGATATAAAAAATTATTTTTTATTAAATATTTTTGATATTTTTATTTAATTTTTTAAATAATTATGACGTCGTTCGGTTCTTCCGATCGGTCGGACCGGTTCGACCGGTTGAACAAGTGAACCGGTAGTATGACCGGTTCGTTAACCGGTCCGGTTCTGAAAACCATGCCTGCAAGAAAATAAGTATAACATAATCAAATCAACAGCAATAAATCCATAAGATCAAAGAATTAACGAGAAAATATTACCGATTCAGAACACTCATCAGAGAAAAAGGTGTGTTTGATAGTGGTACCAGTAAGAGCAATATAGCTTCAGGTACCGGTGTGAAAGAGGTTCAGTGGAGCTCATTTGACTCTGATTCAAATGTTCATTTTGGTGGTGGATCTAGGCCATTCTCGTAAATCTTTAATGATTTGGGGGATAATTCTAAGGACCCTTTTGCTAAAGTGGGGAATAAGGATGATTTGGTGAAGGAATTTAATGCGACTGTTGGTATATCATATAATTCATTTTCTGATTTGTCTTCGCCCATTCATCCACAAAATAATGATGTTCAATATTATGGCACGGGATTAGAACAAAATATAGATGGGCAGGATTTTAGCAATTATCAGTACTGGGAAAATCTTTATCCAGGATGGAGATACGATCCAAATACCGGGAATGATATCAGGTGGAGGGATATGTGAATACAGTTATGAATTCACAGGAGAGCTTTGGTGTGACACATTCAGATAGTGGCTACCTTATTTCAGATGGAAAGATGGACGCACAGTCTTTTCAGCAAACAAATCAGTCTGCTTTAGGAACTTTCTCTGAGAACTTTGGGAGTTCAGATACCATAAACTGGAATCAGATTTCACAAGGAAATGCAGATTACCCTGAACACATGGTGTTTGATCCCCAGTACCCTGGATGGTACTATGATACAATTGCTCTAGAATGGAAGATGTTGGAGTATACTTCAACTGTATATCAGTCAGCAATCATGGATAATGATAAATAATATCAAAATAAAAATATTGAATGCAATGAGTTCCAAACTTTAGGTAGTCAATACTTTTATATGAATCAGAGTGAATCTGCAGGCAACTACCATAAGCAATTTTCAAATAGTTTCCAAGATTACTCAGTTTCCAAGAGCGGACCCGATTTTTCTTCCGAAACTAAGCAATCTGGAAATATTTATAATCCTGCAGATCATGTAGATAATCATGCAGATCAACAAAATGGATTTGAATCTTCTAGATCGGTTACTCCTTATTAAAAGCAAACTCAGACTTTTATACATGGTGGTGGAGTGTCTAGGTTTCAAAGCTTTGATCCAGCCCAGAATTATACTCCATTTAATAATCAGACACCTTTTTAGCCAGAGCAACAGCTGTAATTCACGGCTTTCATTGATGCTCAAAAATCAGGAAATCATCCTCAACAGCCACTTCCAGTACGCACTTCATTTTCTTCTTCACACAATGAGGGAAGGTCTTTTGCTGAGCGCCCTCCTCATGCACTAGTGACTTTTGGGTTTGGTGGACAACTTGTTGTCATGAGCAACAACAGTTTGTCTCACACAAGTACGGTGTATGGGAACCATGTAGCACAAATTATTTTCTTGCTTAATTTCAGGTAGTTCTAGTTTCCTTTCTGTTGCAACTCTTTGCTTCTGCTGTAGACATCAAGTCATTTTTTTTGGGTGAAGGGCTTTGTAGGAGGTGTGGTAAGTGTACTAAATTTGGTAGAAGTTGTTGATAATGCTCAATCCCAGATAGTATTGGAAACACTATTGGGAATGGGTATTTATAGTATGGAATTCCCACTTCCTTGTTGAGTGAAAGAGAACAAGGGGGACTCTCGTGCACCGTCGTTGCCATCGTCCGTCTCGGCTCGTGGTCGTGGTAATACGTGTCTTCGACACGTCCACGCGGATACTATCTTTTTAGAGAAAATTCTTGAGGAATTTCTCTTTGAAATAAACAAATGGAAAAATGTGAAAGATTTCAACTGATATTTATAGGCTGCTGAGAACTGTTTAAATTCAAATGATAACAGCTGGTTTATGAAAGTTATCAGAAATTAAACATCTTTTCCTAAATTAAATCAAAAAACGTTAATATGTATCTAGACTGATTTCCAGCTTTGTACAGAGGGGACAAGCTGTTAATATCAGGAGTTACAAGAGTTATTTGATTTAATTCCAGGGGTTACATGATATAATTTCAGGAGTTATAACAGCTGAATAATGATGCAATGAACCTGGACTATTTTTGAGTCAGGTTCATCTAGACGTTTCAGCTGTTACAAAAGAAGAGATTTAATCCTGAACTTTTATGGACGATTTTAACCCTATTTCGAGCCTATAAATACAGGGCTATATTCAGCTTCTCAACTTACCCTCAACATTCACAATTCACTCTCAAAGTGTTTTCTACAATTATTTTTTCTGTGTTTTCCGATAAGAAGAGCAATACCACCGGCAGTCCACTCTGATTTTGGGTGTACAGAATTCGGAGCAACCGTGTTAACCTCGGGGGACGGTCCACCTACTGCAGCGATTACACACATCGAGGCAAATTCGTTTCTAAGGCAGTGGTTATACCACGACACGATTTACGAATCTGTTCATTTTAATTACTGTTTATATTTCCAGTCAGTGCTAACAGAGTAGTTTTGCAGTTCATATATCCAACAATTTAGAAACGAATTCGATATACTGTAATCATGTCAACACCTTTGAGCAAGCTTATTCCCGATCTTTCCAAACTCGATGCACTTGATAGAAAGAATTATAGAAGGTGGTCCCAGCGAATCCTGATTTTATTTAAGCAGCTTGATCTTGACTACGTGCTGCTCAAGCAACCACCTACCATGCCGCCAACCCCTTTTACCGGTAATGATACGGATGTGGTCCTTAATGACGATGCCTTAGCAACTGCCACCGCCACTCTTGCTACCTACGAGAAGTACGAGAAAGACAATAAAATGGTGCGAGGACATCTGCTCAGTCACATGTCAAATAAATTATTTGATATGTTCCTTAGAGAAAGGAGTACCAAGCCAATATGGGATACTCTCGATAAAAAGTATGGTGCGGATGATGCTGACATCAAGAAGTACGTTGTCGGCGAATGGCTCAAATTCCAGATGACTGATGACAAGCCGATAATGGATCAAGTCCATTACTATGAGAACCTAGTTACTGACATCATCGCCGAAGGGATGCAAATGTGCGAGGTGCTGCAAGCCAATGTTCTCATTGAGAAGCTGCCCAAGTCCTGGTCTGACTACCGCAACTCTCTTAAGCATAAGAAGAGAGAAATTTCGCTTGAAGAGCTCGTGGGCCATATGAAGATTGAAGAAGCCAACCGTTTAAAAGATAAGCTTACTAATTCTATGAGTAATTTATCTTTTAGAGCTAACTTGGTTGAGTCTAAATTTAAGAAGATCATGAAACGTGGGAATCAAGACAAGAAGACGAAACCTCAGAAGGCTACCAACTTCAAGAAGTCAGGAAAGGCCAAACCTGAAGTAAAGACGCTCAAGTGTTATGTATGTGGTTTACCCGGCCACAAAGCTTACCAATGCCAACACCGCTCAGACCACCAGAATGAAAACAAGCCACAGATGCACGTTGTAGAAGAAGATGATGAGATCATTGCTGCGGTGGTCTCAGAAGTCAATCTGGTGGAAAACAATTCGGAATGGGTTGTTGACACTGGCGCTTCAAAGCATTTCTGCGCAAGGAATGAGTTTTTCACTGAATTCGAGGATGGGAACGAAGGTGAACGTGTGTACATGGGAAACTCTAACAGCTCTGAAGTGCTAGGAAAAGGCAAGGTTTTACTCAAGCTGACCTCTGGTAAAACTCTGGCTTTAAATAATGTTCTGTATGTACCTGCCTTGCGTAGAAATTTAATAAGTGGTGGGCTTCTGAATAAGGCAGGCATTAAGTTAGTTTTTGAGGCAGATAAACTTGTATTTTCCCGAAATGGTGATTATGTTGGGAAAGGGTTTTTAAGCAATGGTTTATTTGTCATAGAAACTCAATTTAATGAAAATAAAGCTACCACTTCTTCTTATATTGTTGAATCCATTGATATGTGGCATCCTAGATTAGGACACGTGAATATTCATGCTTTAAAGAAATTGATAAATATGAATGTTCTGCCTAAACTACACATAACTAGCTTTAACAAATGTGAAAATTGTGTAGAAGCTAAGCATACTAGACCTTACTTTAAGATTGTTTCTAATAGAAAGACTGAGTGGTTAGAACTTATTCATACTGATCTAGCAGATTTTAGAAACACTGAAAGTAAAGGAGGAAAAAACTACTACATAACTTTTGTAGATGATTATTCAAGATATACAAAAGTTTATCTCCTAAGGAATAAAGATGAAACTGAAAACTTCTTTCTAATTTATAAGGCAGAAGTTGAAAATTAGTTACATATGAGAATCAAACGGGTTAGATCTGATAGAGGTGGTGAATATGGATCTAATTTCTTAAAAGATATTTGTGAAAAGAATGGCATAATTCATGAAACTTCAGCCCCTATTTTCCTCAACAGAATGGTATAGCTGAAAGGAAAAATAGAACTTTAAAATAGATGATGAATTCTTTACTAATAAGTTAAGGGTTATCTGATAACATGTGGGAGGAAGCCATTCTATCGTCAACTCATATCTTGAACCGAGTTCCTCATAAGAAATTAGATTCTACCCCATATGAATAGTGGAAAGGATATGCTCATAATTTACAATATCTGAAAGTGTGGGGGTGTATAGCTAAAGTGGGTTTGCCAGACTTTAAGAAGTCCACCATTGGACCTAAAACCATTGATGCAGTGTTTATAAGGTATGCTACGAATAGTGATGCATACAGATTCATGCTTTTACAAGATTATTCTATTTGTGAGTCAAGAGATGTTGTTTTCTTTGAAAATACCTTTCCTTTAAAGGAACCGAGAATAAATATTGAAACAAAAATAGAATATATTCCATCAACTTCTTCTAGTAATCCTGCTAGGTCTTCTGAACAAATTGATTTTGAGCCTAGAAGAAGTAAAAGGCAAAGAGTTGAAACCTCTTTTGGACCATACTTTATTACTTCCTTTATTTCTGATATAAATGATTTAGACTCCATTTCAGATCCTACAACTCAAATGTTTTTGTTAGATGAGGATCCCAAAACTTTTAAAGAAGCTATAAGATCTATTGATGCTAGTTTTTGGAAAAGTGTTGTTAATGATTAACTAGAATCGATAATGTCTAATCATACTTGGCAATTAGTTGACTTGCCTAAGGGATTCAAACCAATCTCCAACAAATGGGTCTTCTGGAAGAAACTAAGGCCAGATGGTTCGATTCAGCAGTACAAGGCAAGGTTAGTTGTCAAAGGGTTCACTCAAAGGTTTGGTTTAGACTACTTTGATACATACTCTCCCGTTACAAAAAATCTCAATGATTCGTGTATTATTTTCACTAACCTCTATTCATAAGTTGCAGGTACATCAAATGGATGTTAAGACTGCTTTCTTGAATGGATATCTAGATAAGGAGATTTACATGGAGAAACCACTAGGTTTTGAAGCACCTGGTATGGAAGGCAAAGTCTGTAGACTCAAAAAGTCACTCTATGGACTTAAGCAGGCTCCTAAATAGTGGTATGAGAAATTTCATGAAACTATTATTAGTTTTGGTTTTGTTATGAATGGTTCGGATGCTTGTGTGTATATGAAGATGTTTGACACTGAATGTGTTATCATAAGTCTTTATGTTGATGACATGTTGATTTTCAGTTCTAACATTGAGTCCATTAACAATGTTAAAAATTTCTTGTCCACTAAGTTTGAGATGACAGATTTGGGAGAAGTAGATGTAATCTTAGGAGTCAAAGTTACCAAAACTGAGAAGGGATTTTCTTTATGTCAAGCACATTATATAGACAAAGTGCTAAAGAAATTTGACAGTTTTGATGTCGTCCCTGTTCGAACTCCTTATGACCCTAGCACACATCTAGTTAAGAATAAAGGAAGTAGCGTTTCCCAAATTGAATATGCTAAATTAATTGGTAGCTTAATGTTCTTAATGAACTATACTCGGCCTGATATTGCTTATGATGTGAGTAGACTGAGTAGATATACTCATAATCCGAGTGATGAGCACTGGATTGCTCTTAAATGCTTACTGAAGTATCTTAAGGGTACTTTGGATTGGAAACTTGAATTTGTTGGCTTTCCTGCGGTACTAGAAGGATATTGTGATGCCAACTAGGTTTCTGATAATGATGAGGTAAGCTCTACGAGCGGGTATGTTTTTACTTTGGGTGGAGAAGCAATCTCGTGGAAATCATCAAAGCAGACTTGTATTGCTCGTTCTACCATGGAGTCAGAGTTTATAGCTCTTGACCTAGCTGGGCAAGAAGCCGAGTGGTTCAAAAGCTTGTTAGCAGATATTTCATTGTGGGGAAGACCGACTCCTCCGGTTTCATTATTGTGTGTTTCACAAGCTGCGATATGTGTGGTTAAGAACCAAGCTTACAATGGTAAGAAAAGACACATTCGCATAAGACATGAATCAGTTAGACACTTAATAAAGAATAGAGTGCTCTCTTTAGAGTATGTGAAGTCGAAAATGAACCTAGCAGATCCGCTTACCAAAGGGTTAAGTCAGAAGCTGGTCCTAGATTCGTCGAGGGGGATGGGTCAAAAGCCCATTGGTTGAGGAATTCATGGTGGATACCCAACTTAGTTATCTAAGTTCCATGAGGTAAAACGAAACCATGGAAAGACTCATAGTGCACATTCCTACTGCCTATCCCTATGATGAATAATGTGCATACCCAGGATGAGCTTAATTGTTCTTAATAAATTCATAGCTCAGGCTTTGGGTGGTCTTAGTGAGAAAGACTTGATGAATTTACCGATTTTGGTTGAATATCTATTATTAATAAGTTCATAACCCAGAGTGAGTGGGTAGGAAATGATGAACTTACTGACAGAAAGGTTGAGTTTGTTAAACTCTTAATAAATTCAAATCCAAGTATTTGGATGGTTCTAGTGAGAAGGACTTATTGAATTTACTGATAAATGAGGTTGAATATTTATTCTTAATGACTTCTTAGCTCAGAGTTTGGGTGGTTCATTTATAATGAACTTGAAGAAAGTCACTATACCCTTTGTGAGGTTGAGCTTTTATAAAAGCTCTTAATTATTTCATATCCCTATTAAGGGTGGTTTATATCGAGATAAACTTGATGAAATAACATATGTAAGTGAGAAGGGTTATCCGCCTTCTATGAAAAATGTTGGGCCATTTTTCTAGCACACTTACTAGAATCCTGAGGTAAGATGGCCAAATATATACTTTTGTATATATATATCTTACACATCGAGGACTCAGGTGGATGAAGGGGTTAGTTGTGTGTTATGAGTTTACCCCCATCTTTAGAAAGTTCCAGACTAGTTTCACTTATCTAAGAGAATGATTGCTCATCGTCACTATGTACTAGTTCCAAATACGTTCACTAGTGCTTAAGCAACTAATCTCGCTATTGCTCTTCTGGAAAGTTTGTTTTCGAGTTTCAGAAGAATTCTTTCGCATTAGTGGGGGAATGTTGGTAATGCACAATCCCACATAGTATTGGAAACACTATTGGGAAGGGGTATTTATAGTATAGAATTTCCACTTCCTTGTTGAGTGAAAGAGAACAAGACGGACTCTCGCGCACCATCGTCGCCGCCGTCCGTCTCGGCTCGGCACGGCACAGCACGGCTCGGCTTGACTCGTGGTCGTGATAATACGTGTCTTCGACACGTCCGCGCGGATACTATCTTTTTAGAGAAAATTCTTGAGGAATTTCTCTTTGAAAGAAACAAATGAAAAAATGTGAAATATTTCAACTGATATTTATAGGCTGCTGAGGACTGTTTAAATTAAAATGATAACAGCTGGTTTATGAGAGTTATCATAAATTAAACAGTTTTCCTAAATTAAATCAAAAAAACGTTAAGATGTATCTGGACTGATTTCCAACTTTGTACAGAGGGGACAAGCTGTTAATATCAGGAGTTACAGGAGTTATTTGATTTAATTCCAGGGGTTACATGATATAATTTCGGGAGTTATAACAGCTGAATAATTATGCAATGAACCTGGACTATTTTTGAGTCAATTCATCTAGACGTTTCAGCTCTTACAAAAGAAAAGATTTAATCCTGAAATTTTATGGACGATTTTAACCCTATTTCTAGCCTATAAATAGAGGGTTATATTCAGCTTCTCAACTTACTCTCAACATTCACAATTCACTCTCAAAGTGTTTTCTGCAATTATTTTTTCTGTGTTTTCCAATAAGAAGAGCAATATCACCGGCAGTCCACTCCGATTTCGGGTGTACGGAATTCGGAGCGATTGTGTTAACCTCGGGGGACGGTCCACCTACTGCAGCGATTACACATATCGGGGTGAATTCGTTTCTAAGGCAGTGGTTATACCACGACACGGTTTATGAATCTGTTTCTTTTAATTACTGTTTATATTTCCAGTCAGTGCTAATGGTGTAGTTTTGCAGTTCATATATCCAACAGAAGTTGTCACGGAGAACAGTAATGCCTCTAGCTTTGGATTTGGTGCCCAAGATTACTTTCAGACATTGCGCCATTAGCCTTTACCTGGTCCTCTGGTTAGTAGGAATGTTGGAAATAAAGATTTGTATAAGTGGATTGATGAAAGGATTGCACACTGTGAATCTTCAAGTGTGGGCTATAGAGGAGAAGTTTTGAGGTTGCTTTTTTCTTTACTGAATTTCGTGTCAGTATTATGGAAAACTTCGGTCTCCTTTTGGTACAGACCAAACTTTGAAGGTGAACTACTCCTAAACGATTAATTCCACTTTTTATTGTTACTACACAACTATCTCGTGGACACTTTACTGAGCTCTGACCTTATTCTTTCTCTTTCTTCTTTTTACCATTTTATCCTTTTTGTTTAACTTTCAGGAGAGTGATTACCCCGAGCTAGCCGTTGCTAAGCTTTTAGGGTCTGTGAAAGGGAAGGGAGTGCAATCAGGCTCATACAGTGCTGTTGTTCATTGCTTGCAGAACTTGCCATCAGAAGTACAGATGCAGGTATGGATGGACTACCGTTTTCAGTTTCTTGTAATTCTAATTTTATATGTTTCACGCATTTTCCAAAAAAAGAAAAAACTTAACGAGATTTTCCGTAATTTGGATCTATTATTGGTTAAGGCTACTGCTCTAGAGGTGCAGAGGCTTCTTGTCTCTGGTAGAAAGAAGGAAGCACTAGAATTTGCACAAGAAGGTCAACTATGGGGGCCAGCTCTTGTTATTGCATCTCAGCTTGGTGATCAGGTTATTGTGATCACATTTTACATATATTTTATATGTTGTTCTATTTTATGCATATGTACATGATATACCATGTTTGATTTATTTTCCATTGTTACTGAATAAACCTGCAAGTATTCGAGACTTGATTTCTGCTTGCTGATAATTGAATTTATGAATGTCAGTTTTATGGCGATACTGTGAAGCTAATGGCACTCAAGCAATTAAAAGTTGGGTCACCATTACGGACATTATGCCTAGTGGTTGCAGGCCAACCAGCAGATGTGTTTTCCAAAGTTTCCTCTGGTAGCAATCTCCCTGGTTATGTAAATACTTCCATCCAGCCCGGACAGGTGTACATAATTTGAGTGCTTGCTCTGAATAGATCAGTCTCCTTTTTCTAATTTTCCTGTAGCTTTCTTGGAGTCTTTGAACCATTTTTTTTCAGCTTGTACAAATATATATTGTATACTGAAGGTTGCAGCTAATATGTTGGATGGATGGGAAGAGAACTTAGCCATCTTAACGGCTAATAGAACAAAAGATGATGGACTTGTTATAATTCTTCTTGGAGATTGCTTGTGGAAGGAGAGGAAAGAGGTAATACAGTCGTTCAACCTAGTTTAAGTAATTCTGTCTCTTCCGTACCTCGCCCTACTTGTATTTCTCTTCTCTTTTTAACTCATTTTTCTGTGTTCACCAAATGATTTCTCTGTGCATTTGGTAAAAAAACTGCACAGGCTGCTGCTGCACACATATGCTATTTAGTTGCAGAAGCCAGCTTTGAGCCTTATTCTGATGGTGCTAGACTTTGTCTTATTGGTGCTGCTCATTGGAATTGTCCACGAATATATGTTAGTCCAGAGGCAATTCAGGTATCTAAGCATTACTCTTTCTTCTGATATTGGTAGGACCATTCAATTAAAATGATGCAGCTGTTGACCTTTACTTTATTGCATGCTTTTTACTTACTGATATCTATTTCAGTTCAGCTCCTCTCTCGTTGTCTGACATACAAAAATGTTTTGTGCTTACTGCTTAGTTCCCTTTTCTTTAGTTTTTGTGGAGTAGCTCTTAATTTGAGCTTTGACCAACTATTGGTCTCAGATATAAAGTAGCACTGTTTTAACTAGCATTTTTGCTGTCTGGGCAGAGGACAGAACTATACGAGTACTCAAAGGTGCTTGGAAATTCTCAGTTCCTCCGGCTACCTTTTCAGCCATATAAGCTTATTTATGCTTATATGCGGCTGAAGTTGGGAAAATGGCTGATTCTTTGAAGTAAGTCTTGAGGCACGTATGTTATTTGATGATGTAGCTAAAGTAGATTTAAGTTTCTTTTCATTTATCATGAAATGTTGATTCAGATACTGTCAAGCCATTTTGAAGTCTTTGAGAACTGGCCGAACACCTGAAGTGGAAACTTGGAAACAATTAGTGTCATCTCTTGAGGAATGATTAAGAACCCACCAGCAGGTATCTTTTAGTTCTTAAATCACATAGCCTTTCTTTCTTTATAGAATTAAGAAGACAATTTAATGAATAGGGTGGTTACTATGCAAACTTGGCTCCTACTAAATTGGTCGGTAAATTGCTCATGGTCTTTGATAATAGTGCTCGTGTTGTTGGAGGCCAATCTCCACCTCTTCCTTCTACATAACATGGCAGTGTTCATCAAAATGAGTTTGTTCACCAACCACTAGGCTCAAACACATCTCACAATCAACCTACAATGTTAATGCAACCACTGACATCCTCTTTATCAATGGATTCAACAATGGCCATGCCATCACTGATGCCTTCTGCGTCAATGGAACCCATTAATCAATCGACTAGTCAGACTGATCTAGCAGCAATGCCTAGTAGAAGCGTCTCTGAGCCAGACTTTGTTCAAAGTGACAGAAGGGTAACTGCTTAAATAACTTTGAAATTATCTCTTCACACACAAACATGCAGAGGAATCATTTTGCAACAATTTTTATACTTATTTGTTCATGATCCTTTCTCAAATGATCCTTTCTCAAAGACACTTTACTTGTCCTTAGTCCATGCGAATCCTTGGAACAGTTGTGGTGTGTCTCGGTTTCAGAAAGTGATTCACGGCAATGGGAACACCTCCAAAAATTTAACGTAGGAAGATTTTAAGAGTGTTGCAATATGTGCTTTTGTAAGAGTTGGGATAAGTTTTATGACAAAAAAATGATTATCTTGAACTTTAAGATCAAGTGTTTTGTTGGTTTTACTTTTTGCTCATATGACGTAAGATTAGTGTAGTTTGACTGTTGCTGTAGTTGTGCTTGAAAGATTTTGTTGGATAGGTATTAGGAGCAGCAGATATTTTATTGGTGGCTGGGCTATGATTTAGTTGCAAATATTTGAAGCTAAAGATCATATTTTGTTGGTTTCTCTGTTCATAACGGGAGTTGTGTTTTGAAATTTTTGGTGGGATAAATCGCAAGCTATGTTACTGAAACTTGGGTGTTAGAGTCAGATACCGGCTATCTGTTGTACATTTTTTTGAAAGGGTATCTGTTGTACATGGGTATGTTTGGTTTAATTCTGAAGTTTTTCCATCTATTTGGTGGGTCATACCCCCTATGCTGCCCATGCCCAATTGTGGGTCATACACAATTCTCTAAGAAAAATAAAGAGTCGAAGCAACGTATATCTCACACAAGTCAAGTTTTGGAGGTGTTGTATTTCTTTTTTCTCTATAATCATGGTTATAGCTGACTGTTATCGAAATAGCATCTGTTATATAACATAACATAATTTAAAGAAGCACCATGAACAACGCAAATGTGAATGCCATTTTTCTTTTACCCCTTAAATTTATATGTCATCGAATATTAAGGTGAGAAGATAAGTATTATTTTATTTCAAGTTCCCTGTAAAGGAGAGTTTGTCTCTCCCCATTTGCATTGTGCCTTTAGTATCTTGTTTGGACAAAGGGTGCAACAACAAATGGCTGTGATCTTATGTGTGTTTCTTTATTTTTGGTAAGGTTAATTTCATCCAATGAAGCTAACTCATCTGCAAAACAAGAAAAAGCAGCTGTGTCAAGTGGGCCTTCTCGATTTGGTCGTTTTGACTCACAGCTATTCCAAAAGATTGTTGGTTTGGTCCTAAGATCTCGACCTGATCGCCAGGTAATTTATAAGTTTACTGAATTTTTGAAAATTACTCTTAATTAATGTATTTTATATTAATTGAATATTGAGCTTCTGCTGCATTCCATGTTGAACATTGCAGGCTAAACTAGGTGGGGAGAACAAATTTTATTATGATGAAAAGCTCAAAAGATGGGTTGAGGAAGGAGCTGAACCTCCTGCCGAGTGCCGAGGAAACAGCGTTGCCACCTCCACCCACTAGTACAGCTTTCCTGAATGGAGTAAATGATCTCAGTCTAAAAGATACCCCCAAAATAGAAAGCTTTCACACAAGTAGTGAAAATAAAAGCTCCCTCTCTTCTGAACGGAGCTCAGGTATTCCACCAATTCCACCCAGTTCAAACCAGTACTCTGCTCATGCTCAAATGGGTGTCCGCTCAAGGTATTGTAGTTTAACATATTAGACTGTTATAAGCTTTCCCTTTCTCTTTCTCTTGCACACACGGCGTTGTTGCATGCTTAGTCTGCTTAGCTTGTAGCTGTTGCCTTGTTTTTATATTACAAATTTTTTGTTAGTTGCTAGTCAATGTTTTAACCGAGTATTTTTCCCATTTATCTGATAGCGAACCATTTCGAAATCATTTTAGGTATGTTGACACATTCAACAAGGGCGGCGGCAGCCCTGTAAATTTATTCCAATCTCCTGTTCCATCTGCAAAACCAGTGGCTGGTTCTAGTCCCAAGTTTTTCATCCCTTCTACGGTTACTCTCGGTGAAGAGATGGTTCAAAATACTGGGGAAAGCATCCAGGAAGCAATCACGAGCAATGAAAGCCCAGCAACATCTTTTAAGCAAGATTTATCTCCTCCAGCACCACCATCAACGAGTATGCAAAGGTTTCCTAGCATGGATAATATTGTGCACAAAACCATAGCAGCAGCATCTGATGACAACTCTCAACGTATAGCATCTCGGAGTGGAAGCCTAAGTAATGCTTCCAATCATTCAACTACCTGGAACGCGATAAAACCTCCACAAGAAACCCTAGGCATACCTTACACTCCCCCAAATTCTGGGGAAAACCTTCATGAAATCAAGCTTTGAGATCCGTGGATTGAGGGAGTTGTAATTAAACTCACATTGCACTGTCAGTCTCACCCCCCATTTTGCTGTTGGGGAAAGATGATGAGAGGAGAAACGAAGAGGTTTGAGTTGGGTTTATTGGTCCGAGTGCACTTCTTGTTTCGGCCATTCCCAGACCTGAGAAACCTATTAATGGTGTCCCAAAATGACTTGAAAATTCAGATGCTGTTACTTGTACAGGTAAATGGGGCATTCATCATTCACCCCATGAGGATCTTCTGCCAATAAATTTGAACAAGGTATCCTATTGTTTCTTTTTTTGGTTTGATTCCTGAACTATTACAGGGTAGCAGTTTGAATAATGTTAGCTTAATAAATAATGAGAAAGGATGGAAGGAAAATGCTTCTGTTGCCTTCATCTGCATTTATTTATAATTTGTTTAGTTACTTCTTTTTTATATATAATAAATATTTGAGATTTAGTTCTTAATAGGTTCATAACACCGTTGGCTATCAGTGATATTTTTCAAAGCATTTGGTTGTTATTTGTTGTTGTTTTCAAAGATGGTGACAAAAGAATGTAAAATTTTAACTTCAAATTAGAAAAGTAGAGTTAGTTTGGTATCACTTTTAAGGGTACACAAATGATCCATGATTATATGATATTGTTTTATTTATTTTGTTGAATCTTCGACTATTAAAAGTTATAAATGGTCTTCCGACTATAAAGAGTTGTTTTGTTGAGTCATTGACTATTAAAAATTATAAAATGGTCACCCGACTATTCATTATATTTCAATATGAGTTGGACATTAACCTGCTGATTGAGTTATGATAAAATTTAATATCGTAACCCCAAACGACTATTATATGTCAGTCGACATGTTAACGTCCAACTCAGACAACCATTAATTTTTTTAACACAAAATGATGAGTTTGGAACATAATGAATAGTTGGTTAATCATTTTATAACTCTTATTAGTTGATGGACTAAACAAATCAATTCCCTATAGTCGGAAGACTCAATAAAACGGTATCTTATAATCGAGGATCATCTATGTAGTTTACCCTTACTTTTAAATGGTGTTGATTATGTAATGTTGAAAAGATGATTAAGAATATTTAGAAAAATAAATTAAACTCAAATATTTTATTAATAATATAATTATGTATTTATAAATAATTATAATATTTTAGAAAATATAAAATTTTACTTTTAAACAAGGAAGAAATAAGATCAATTTACAGCCTCAACCAGATCATCAAACATGTAATTAATCTTTTTAGTTATCTTTTTGGACAATCAGTTTTTAAAATTTTGTGCTCTGCTTTTGTTTTCTTTTCCTAATCACACAAAAAATAAATGTTTAATGTAAAAACAAGTGTATAAATTATATCTAAAATTAATTTTAGGTATTTAAAGAATTTTTCGCTAAAAATAAGTGTCTAACGTTTCTAACATTACACTTTTAGATGTCTAGACAGTCAACAACGTTAAATTCGGTCGTTACTGTAACACCCCAACCCGTATCTGGGTCGGATACGAGTCCGATATGTCACATTGACATTTCAAAACCTTTATTCTTGCAAAATAATAGAACATTTGAACTCTTTTTAAGAAAATACGATAATATATTGTTGAATCATGTTTGTTATAACCAATTTAAGAAAATATACGTTTTACGAACAATAAAATACGGTATAAACAATGAACAATACCGTATGAACAGTTTTGTGAATAGTAAAAAACAGTACCGTGAACAATACCTCGAATGTTAAAATTTTTCCGAATGTCGGAGGGGAACTGATTCCCCTGCTACAGGGAACCGATATCCTACTACAGTACTGCCGTAAAATACGTATAAATTTATAAAAATCCAATGTTTCATCATTATACATTTACCATTTACATATATATGTTTAAAACATTTCTAAAACTCGATTAGAGCATATCTAATACAAATCCTTTTTATTACATGCCAACTAAATTCTTTCTAACAAAATACATGTAACTCAATCTACATTTCTGATCTGATCTTCGGTAAGGAGAACTGACATGTCTTGTTCCTCTTTACTTCTCTTTTCGCTTTCCAAACCTACGTGTGAAACAATCACACGCTAAGTCGATGACTTGGTGAGGCATATAAAACATATAATATAATCATATACCATTTCATATAAACAAACGTCGTACATTGCAAATACTATCATTAATCACTTTTACTTACCATATATTCATCATATAACACATATATCACTATACCAAGGAATAAACATAACATCATGTAATTTTTATAACATATTTCATAATACCAAATGTACCTATCACATATAGTGTATTTGTTATTATCTCTTATTAATCCATGTACACATGTCACTAATTTTTTTAACATATAAACCTACACTAATTATTCCTATACATATTATGGAACACATATATCATTTCAAAACAGAATACACATCGTATCATATCAATTGATTTATTTACTCTCTTTAAAGTCTATGTATTAGCCCATGTATACTTTTGAGAACTTAGGGTATGTGAGTACATTGAGGTTGTGCACCACTATGCTGTCACCACAGCTCGTATAAATGTCCCGAATGACCTATCCAGAGGTCATAAAGAACCTCGGCAACTGTCCATAGGTCCCAAAGAACCTAGGTAAACTATCCATATGTTCCTTAGAACATAGGTAAACTGTCCATATGTCTCGAAAGACATAGGTAAACCCTCGACTCTTGGCATGCCAACTATACCACGAGCTCTCATATCACATAACATGGGCATAATCATTTATAACAATTCATATCCTTGCTCTTATGATCACATATTTCTTTTCTTCTATCATATACCACATGTATGTGTAAACATCTATCACATATCGTATAACATGTATCACAAGTGCATGTAATCACGTAAATCGTTTCATATGATTTATATCATTTCACATGTAGTCACATAAACATATATATCATATCTTGTTCACATATTTTCCCATATAACTCATATCATTTGATTCATATCTTATTCTTATATCATCATATATATGTCATCTATGTTCATTAACTTAATCTCATATATTCACATATACATTCACATCACATATTCATATAAGCCTATGTATCTCATGGTTCTTTCACAGGGCTTACTATCATATTTTAATATCTTACATCTTATAATATATTCTTATATCATCACTTGTTTCCTTTATAGTTATTCACAATCACATTAACAAGTACTCACACATATTATTTAACATATACACTCATAACTCTTTATTTCATATCATGTAATACTCTTACAGAGTATCATATCCTCTTATCATGTATTTCATGTAACATGTTCTTGCTTTCATATAGTCACATTTCATATAACACTTATTGTATTCATATAAACTTATATATGTACTCATGTTCATACTTTCATATAGTCCGTATATCAATATCATATAACTTATCTCACAGTTTTACATAATCACTTATATCGCATTAATTATCTATTATTTCCATGTATTTACTTTCACATAGCTCGTCACATAAGCATGCATTCTCATATTTTACTCTCATATGTTCACATCGATCATGGTCACATAGAATAATATTTCTAACATATCACATCACTTATATTACATATTCCTATAATTACTTATATCAATATCACATAGCTTGTATTATAATTTCATATATTCATGTACACATAAACATCACATCATTCACAAATCAATTAACATTTTAGGAGTCCTTTTTTACCATAGTAACTCCGTCACTGGCTCATCGTAAACCAATGTTTATTCAATAACATAAGTACAATTAAATTACACTCACCTTAGTCTTGCTTTGATTCGATCCTAATCATTTGATTATTCCAAAACTTGTTTAGGCTCAATATTTACATAAATATAACATTTCAAAATAATTATCAGAAGCCTAAATCTTAAACTTGATGTCAATAACTTAAACCGATTTAAAGAACCAAAATTCCATTTTTCCATTAGGGGGAATCGATACCCCCCCCAGGGGTATCTGTTCCCTCTTCACAATCTGGAATATTCGTTCAAGCCCAGAAATCAGTGTTCATTGCACGAAAATTCACTCTTTCAACTTCAATTCTTCAAGTTTCATTCCCTTTCATAATCTTAACTCAAATATACATGCTTAAACTCATTTATATCCATTTATTTCATCTTAAACCTCAAAATTCTATTCTCCATACAGAAATCAATAATCATACCAAATTTTCCATGTTATCCAAACTTAATTCTAACACTTCTAACTTCTTATTCTCATAGATGACAAGTCAAATTCATCCTCCAAATTCATTTAAACCTTCTTATTCAAAATTTCACTTAAAAACTCATTTTCTTTAATCTGTCATAACTCCTTTATCTTTTGATTTTAAGATAACTTAAGCTTTCCTTAAGCTTAGTTATCATCTAATCATCAAAACCCAACTTAAATTTCAACAAATAATCAACAAAATAGAAAACTCACCTTTGGAGCTCCCTTTGTTCACGGTGGAGAAGAAGAAAATAAAGAAGAAGAAAAATAATTGAAAGGGTTAAATTGAAAGTAACTAAACATCAAAGGCTAAATTGACATTATTTACGAGCTGCAAGAAAAAATAAGAAGTTAGAGGGCTTAATTGCATAAATATAAAAAATATGAACATGGATTAAATCAAAACAATTCAAAATTCAATGGTAAATTCACAATAGGTGACCAAAATGAATTACACTTCAAACTTACAAGTAGTGCAAAAATAATTTAAAAATCTTGTCATTACACACAGGTCCCCCTTATAAATAACCCCAAGACCAAAAAAATAACATGTCTCTCTCATTTTTCCCATTCCCCCAAACCGAACTCTCCCTTTTTCTCGCAATCATCTCCCCCGTTCCCAATCGGATAATGATCGACTACCACTCCGGCGAAGCCCCACCAAGTCGACCGCCGCTCCGGCCACCGTCTTCGGTGGTCGAAAACCTAAAGGCCTACCCCAAAGCTTCCTCTTAATATCCCGGACCCAAAACCGACCTCCAAACGCCCAAACAACACCACTATCGAAGTATATATAAGAAAAAAACCTCTCGGGTCTTACCTTTGTTCGACGGTGACTAACGATTTTTTTCCTTTTTGAATCGAGACCACCGCTTTCCCTTGATGCCTTTTATATTTTTAGTGCTTTTCCTTGTGATTTGCTTGGTTTCCTAGTGATTCTTGCTTCTTGATATTTATGATATTTTTTTGTTTGTATTGCTTCGATCTTTGTTGTTGTGTTCTTGGTGGATTTTCGATTTCTTGTTATTCTGTTCGTTGCATGACCGGAGGTTTTTATAGCCCCGTAACCGGTCGTTGTGGTTCCGGATATTTTGGGGTACTTCCGATTCTTCTGAAATGGTTTAATCCGGGTGATCTTGCTTGACTCTTCTGTTTTAATGGTTGGTCTTGGTTCCAATTTTCCTGCGATTTTGGCTTAGGGTGTTGAGTATTTCGACCGGTCAGTGACTTGACTGGAGCGTATCTTCCACGCGCTGTTACCGGTTGTTCTTGATGGATTCTAACCGTTGGATCAGACGGCCAGATCCAAAGGCTCATGTGCGGTTACGCATTGGTATGTGTTTCTACGGTTTTCATAACCCTAACCTGCTTCAATCGTGGCCCTTTTTTATATCTTGATCTAACAGCCTGGAACGCGCAACGCCTTTTGCTTAGATCTAAAACCCTAATCGAACCTTGGGCTCCTTTAATCCGGGTGAGCTTGCTGGGTCAGGCCTGCTTACCCGATTGGGCACTCCATACCCCTATTGGACCTGAAGTTGGACCTCGACTGAATGAAAATAAAAATAAAAAAATAAATAAAATAAATAAAAACAAATAAATAAATAAAAAAGTATATTATAAAATATATTTCAAAAACGTTTTGGAAGCCTATACATATGATATATTTTCAAAAACATTTTAAAACTATATATTATATATATTTTCAAAACTATATATTAGGTATATTTTCAAAATGTTTTCAAAAACTATATTATATATATATATATATATATATATATTCAAAATGTTTTTAGAAATTATATATTATATATATATTTTCAAAATGTTTTCAAAAACTATATATTTTCAAAACTATATATTATATATATATATTTGAAATGTTTTCAAAAACTATATATTATATATATTTTTTCAAAATATTTTCAAAAGTATATATATTTTCAAAACGTCTTCAAAACTATATATTATATATATTTTCAAAAATTTATATATATATTATAATTATATATATATATATATATTAAATAGAACTTTGGGCGAAAATGAGTGACTACAATTACATGACACATGTCAAACATATAAAATTTCACAAAAATTTACATATATATATATATATATTAATTTTTATAAATCATATACATGTCATTTAACAGTCGAAATTAACGGCATGTATCTAAATGTGTAACGTCTAAAATGTCATACATCTACTTTTGACGAATTTTTTTTAAATATCTAAAATTAACTTCTAATATATTTTAGTCACTTATTTTTTTTAAGCCAAAAATAAATATAACAATAGAAAACACCATTCATCTTCCAAATCACCCAAGGAACGCACCACAGTATGGAAAGAGACGAAAGCTAATCGTTCCCCTAACATTTCAAATTGGTTCTTAAAATTTTAAATATTATAATTTAATCCTACAATTATGACTATCATTCTAAATTAGTCTTTAAAATTTTGAACATTTCAATTACATCCCCAAACTATGAAATTCATTTTAATTGATTCTCAATTTTTTTTGAATTTCATCTCAAATTATACGCATATCTAATCACATCCCTTGTTAATGAAATCGTTAGGCCAAGTTATATTATTATATGTTTGAGAAAAAAACAAAATTTAATTTAAACCATGGTTTAAATTCATTACATATTTGGATGATTTTGAGAATAAAATTAGAATATTCAAAAGTTTGGAGACCAATCCTCAATTTTTTTGAACATTCCAATTTCATCTAAGATTATACGCATATCTAATCACATCTCTTGTTAACGAAATCGTTAGACCAAATTATATTATTATATGTTTAAAAAAACAAAATTTAGGTTAAACTATGGTTTAAATTTATTACATATTTGGTTGATTTTGAGGATAAAATTAGAATATTTAAAAGTTTGGAGACCAATTTAGAAAGAGAGTCGTAGTTTAAGAATAAAATTAAATTATTCAAAAATTTAAAAACTAATTTAAAACGAAAGTCATATATTAAAAATAAAATTGAAATATTCAAAAGTTTACGTACTAATTTAAAATAAAAGTTATAGTTTAGAATCTTATGACACAATTAAATCTAAACACAATACTACCCTCTCACCAAATTTCTCAAAATCTCCTTCAAACGCATCTCTCCTCTCTCTCATTCTTACAAATTTCAGTGTCAACAACAATGGAAATATGATTTCCCATTCTCTCCGTTAACAATTTATTATAAAAAAATATCTAATTCTTTTTTTTCTTCTTTTTTTCTTCTTTCTTTGCTTCAAATCTTTTATGGCTTCTTTCGTTGAAATCAGTCGGCACAATCTGATTCCACTCTCAGTCACTTCTCTCTGTGCTTGCCCATGCCGTCTCTTATCCAACCGCTCTCCAATAACCCCTAAACTCAAGCTTAACTTACTCTTTCATGGTTCCCAACCGCTCTTCCGGCTTCGTCCTTCCAGTATTTACTTCAACCGGCGGTTAATTACGGTCGTGGCTCGTGCTGAACCCGACGAAAGCAATGCCGATGAGGTACCTTTAATTATGGTTGTACTCATATTGTGTCTGTCAATATATGTAAAACTAGTACTGCATTTTTAAACGTTCGATTAATCTGATTGTTGTAGTTGATATGTCAATATAAAAAGAATTCGCAATCCTGAGGAGGAAAATAACTTGGGTGGTAAGAGATTTATATAATTCTGGAATTAAAAGGAGGGAAAAATGTTACTGAATTTGGAAGTAATGTTGAACATATCCGGTAATTGGTATAAGATAGAAATAGTCACAGTTCATGGGAACTTTTTTTCAGAGTTAGTTACTCAGACCGTGATATTGTAGGAAATTAACAAAGGCCATGTGTTACCAGCAGCCAAGAATTCTCTTTCTGAGCTACAACATAAATCAAGTCAGTTGAGAAAAAGGATCGTTTTTGGACTTGGTATTTGGATCTCTGTTGGAGGTGCTGTATTGGCTGGAGGATGGGTTTTTACCTTGGCTTTGGCCGCTGCTGTTTTACTTGCTGCACATGAGTATTTTGAACTGGTTAGGAGCTGTGGAATCACTGCCGGAATGACACCTCCTCCACGATATGTCTCGAGAGTTTGCTCTCTTATATGTGCACTCATGCCCATTCTCACATTGTAAGATAGTAAATTATGTTCCTTGATTGTATTGCAATGGTATCTACTAATGTTTTGGTTTCTTTATTTAGAATGCTACGCCTTGCCTTTTAGAACTTGTAATTACTACTTAGCTAATAAAATATTTCATGTTGTAATTTATTCAGAGGTTGTGCTGTATTATCAGGTACTTTGGGAATATTGATATTTCAGTGACATCTGCTGCATTTGTTGTGGCTATGGCATTGCTCATGCAAAGGGGAAACCCTCGGTTTGCTCAGCTTAGCAGTACCATGTTTGGGTTATTTTATTGCGGCTACCTCCCTTGTTTCTGGGTTAAGCTCAGATGTGGTTTAGCAGCTCCTTCCTTGAATACTAGTAAGAAAATGGATTCACACACCTTTTTGTTTGTGAATCTAGATTTCGGACAAATTTATCCATGAACAGTGCCCAGTATTATTTGCTCAGCTTTAAGTGTAGAGCTGAAAATGGTGTAATTACTTCTATACTGCTGTTGCTGAACCTGGGTGGTTTGGTTAGGACTTTGGTGTTTCTGGTGATGGATCTCGAAACTGCTTTTATTTCCTCTGTGTAATGTATTTTCAAATGTGTCGAGGAATTTGTAAACTCCTTTTATTTCCTTGGATTTGAAACTTTATTCCTGTTTATTTTTGGATTTGGTTCATTTGCATGTGTGGTTGTGCCATTGTGGAAAGGAGAACGGGTTATGACCATTTACCAAACTGTTTTACCAAGCTTCTTTTCTGCAGGAATAGGAGCTGGATGGCCTTATCTTCTTGGTGGCCAAGCTCATTGGACAGTAGGCCTTGTGGCAACCTTGATTTCTTTCAGCAGCATAATAGCAGCAGATACATATGCCTTTTTGGGTGGAAAGGTATGTAGTCTCCATCAACACGATCTTCTTTCACTTATTTAAAAATTTTAAGATGCGCTGAATGCTACATTTTTTACAGCTATTTATTGGCATGAGAATGATTTTTTCATTACATTTTAAGTGGTGAATATATCATCCAATGACCGTGCTTATGTTTGTCCCCTGTTGTGATGCAGGCCATTGGCAGGATACCACTTACTAATATAAGTCCAAAGAAGACATGGGAAGGAGCTATCGTTGGCTTGGGTGGTTGTATGGCAACTTCTGTATTATTGTCAAAGATTTTAAGCTGGCCAGCCTCTTTGCTAAGGTTTTCAATCTATCTCACAAGTAATAATGTACTAAAAGATATTTTGATCCAAAAATAGATCTAGTTAGATTTTTAACTGTTGATATGGCTCATGACATGAGTTTATAATAGGTTTGAAGATGGTACAAATTCCAGTAATAATTTAAGCTATCCCCATTGGTTACAAGTTGATTTATTTTCATTAATATGTAATCTGATGTTTACATCATTTGGTGTTCATGCACCTTCATGCATGCAGACATTTGATGGTCAATGTGCATGTCATTGTTTGAATTCCAAAGTTTTCTTATCTGTCTACTCACACATGTACCTGGAATGCAAGTATAATGATGACAGATTGTTGTTGATTATTTTGAAATTAAACCAAATCTCTGGCTAGTATCAGTGCAATCATCAACTGTTAACCACTCCAGGAATCAAATATTGGGATTACTGGATTGCTTTTTTATCCAGAAGAACATTAACCCTCAGACTTTACATGTTCTTTTCATTGGTGTAGTGCAATAGCCTTTGGGATTCTCAACTTCTTTGGATCTGTTTTTGGTGATCTTACTGAATCTTTGATCAAGCGCGATGCTGGTGTCAAGGACTCTGGCTCCCTTATACCTGGTCATGGTAATTATACTTGCTCGTGATTATTTATTCAATACTTTGGGGGTGAACTATAGTTATTCATGGATCATATCTTGTCATCTCTATAACATTTTGTTTTCAATGTGGATCAGGTGGAATACTTGACAGAGTGGATAGTTACATATTCACAGGTGCACTCGCATACTCTTTCATCAAAATCTTTTTACCGCTCTACGGAGTTTGATACGTAAATTTTGATCAATAGCACAAGAGAGGATAGAAGATGGAATGTATTCCATGTTTATATACATATTATATGGTGAAGGAGTGCAGAAGCACATTTGATGGATTCATGCAAAAGAACCTGTTCTTACGAATCCGACTGAAGGAAACTGAGGTTGCATTGGCAACCCTTACATTTTTAAAGCAAGTTCTTCCAAGTGAAATGTAACATTACTTTCATGGGGATTCATTTCCAAGTTTCACAGTGAATGTTGTAGTTTTAGCTTGTTGATTTATGGTCAATTATTATGTAAATAGATGTCAATGGTGCTCTCTACATAAATATTAATTTCTTCATCTCTCTTCAGTTCCATCTCTAAGCTTTTTTCCCCCTCCAATCTCTTGAATTATCGATCTATGGGAAACCAAAGATACATATAAACACAAAGGCTTTATTTTTTTTGTCATCATGTTCATCAAATCTGTGTACGTGATTCACGCTGTTTTTGGTTAAGCCAAGACAAGCCATTATGACTTTTTTATTCTAAGACTTGATATAGAAATAAATGTCTAAATTATATCGTTTTTCTCATTTAGGTGTATAAATTATTTTTAGACCAATCTAAGTGTCTAACGTTACAAACGTTGTCATTTTAAGTGCCCTGACTATAGTAATCGTTAAAAAATCCCGTTAAGTGACACGTATCGTTAAAAAATCCTGATAATTTTGAAGATTTTATTTTTTTAAAAAATAATAAAATTATTATATTTAAAGAATACTTTTTTTAAAAAAATATTAATAAAATATTCAAAATATTTAATGGGAGATAAACTTATAAAATTTTAAGGGGAATAAAATAAATTTTCAATAAAAAATATTAAAAAATATTTAAAATATATAGAAATTTAAACTTTTTAAGGGTTTTAATTGCTTCCATCTGCTCTGCCTAGGTCCATCCTTGAATAAGGTGTTGCAACTTGGAAACAAGATGGGCGATCTGATCATTTGTGATGCTGGAAACACTTGAACAAAGTAGGGCGATCAACTTCTTATTAAAATGGAGAAAAATGCATGAATTAGAGCTTAATGGAGGGAGGGGTGGGGAGGTTTTTTTTTAAAAAAAAAATTAAATATGATAATTTATTTTATGTTTTAAAAAAAATTAAAATTACTAGAATACATCACATTTCATTTAACAAGATCTCTTAACAGTCGTTGTGGTCGGGTATGTAAAATGGTAATATTTGTAATGTTAGACACTTGAATTAACTGAAAAATAGTTTAGACACATAAATAAAAAAATAATATAATTAGAAACTTATTTTTATATTAAACCTTATTCCAAGGAGAAAACAACCTAAATGGTCACTTTTGTTTCACTTTCGGTTACTAACTTTGAAAAAGTCAAAGTTTTGTCATTTATATTTATTGATTTATTAAATTTTGGTCATTTATATTTATTGATTGTAATATTTTGTTCATTGAGTTGATGAAATGACATTTAATAAAAAGAATGTAATTTTTAATTTGACCCCTAAAATTTAGATAAAATGTTAATTTTACATCTAAACTTTAAATGAAATGTCATTTTAACTCTTAAACTTTAGATTACAATTTGACCTATAAATTTAACCAAAATCTCCCATCGCTAATCGTTACTAATCACAGTCGTGGTCGGTCATTGATAACAGTTGGACTCAAAATTTTTAGTTAATTCCCTTTTTGCCACCTAAACACACATTTAGTATTTGTTTCATTGGAAAATACCTCAAACTCAAAAAATATAATCTAAAATCATTCAATTTTCTTTAAAGTTATCATAATAATAAATTTATCATTAATATTTTTTTAAAAGTACAACAAAAATATAAATCTATATAATAAGTAAATCCATAAAATTTTTATTTACAATATTATTATTGTTATAATTTTAAGAATAAATTCTCTAGCAAGTGAATTTTACACGGATTAAACATATATTCATCTAAAACATCAAATTAAATAATGAAAATCTAAGAATAAATTTATATAAAAAAATTCTCAATGATTCGACATAACAAGACATTAATGCTATTTGGTAGAATCAAAACCTAATTGGTATAAAATCAAAAATCATACCAAATCATCAAGAATAAAATATAATATTGGATGAGGAAGCATATATGAATTAATTGATAGGTTGAAATATTTGAGTCTTTCTTTAGTTGTGGTCCTCCAAGAAGATATGTTTGCTTTTGCCGTAAAAATTCTTTGACGGGATAAGATTATTAGTAATACGAGTTAACTTATTTATTGGGAACCACTACCACTTTATATACTAAATATTAGGTCAAATTTTGAAGTATTTATAATTTTGTCCCTCATCAATTATAAAAACAACTTATGCATCTATATTTTAATTTCATGACACTTTAATACCTATAATATATGTAATATAATTGGTTACTTAATTTTTTTATGTCATACTTTATGATAACATTCTATATTATAATACTGTCCATATCAATGAATTTTAATCTAACAAATAACCATAAAAGTTGGAGGTGGTGACTTGGTCACTCTCACCTCGAATATCATTTCGTCCCTTGTTGGATAATTGGGTATCCTTGTTTCGTGATTCTTAATGTCGTTTGCGTCACCCTCAGGGATTGAATAGTAGTCTACTATCAGAATAGTATGTTAGAAATATAACAATTTGAGAATAAAATAAAATAAAATATTTTATTAAATAATAAAAAAACATTTAAGAAATAAAAACCTGGTTTCTGATAGATTAACGGATTGGAAACAAGTTGAGGCATGCAATTACACATGGATGAAATTTAAGAAAATATTTTTGTAAAGATCTCATAGAGTAGAATATCAATCAGTAAATTCATTATTCAATTCTCAATCTTTACCCTTAGAAAATATGCCTCAAAGTTTACAATTTATGACAAATTTTCAACAATCCCCACATGGATGAAATTGATGATTTTATCAAAATATTTTGACTCAATGTGGTGATAGACCCTATGAACTATAGTTGCATAGGATAGATAGGTGTCCTCCTTTGAACCTTCCCTTGTAACAGTATATTTACTTTACTAGCTAATCAGTAGATGTGATATCCTTGAATTGTTCTGCCGTTTGTGTAAATGATGATATACTGCACACAACTGTCTTTTTGACAAGTATATTAGTTCTCATGGGTATGTTCATATAGCCGTGAACATCACCTGAATCTGTAAGAGTTTGAAAACCTTGCTTAGCATATACCACTTTAATCACTGTTTACATCGTAGGAATGGACTTGGGATTAACAAACCGCCACAGTGCTCGTACATGGTTTATGTAATTAGGTTGTCCCTTTGAACCTAGATCTAGGGATATCCTTTCAACAAGGTAGGGTTTTCCTTCACATAACACATTTAATTTTCACGGGCTTTAGTCTCATTCCTTTAGATGTTTTCTCAACTTAATCTCGATTTAACCCTTTTGTTAGTGGATCCACAATGTTATCCTCCGATCTTATAAAATCAATAGAAACAACTCCATTTGAGGATATCTTATTAAAACCTATCTTTATTGTTCCACTCACAATTTATGCATATTGTGAGCACAAATTTTAGCCATTACAGATATCCTCTAAGAAATTATAAAGTTATTTAGCTTTATTCTCCAGACTTCTCTAGAGCTAAAAACTTAAATTCCATTGTGAATCTGGTTATATTTATTTTCTTGAGGATTTTTATGACACGATTCCTATTCCCAATGTGAAATATATTCACTTGTGTCTTTGATATCTTGAATATCAGATATTCAACTCGCATCAGAGTATCCTTCTAAGCGCTACAGCAAAATTGTACATTTTCGGTATTTTTAAGCGTCGCAAAAAACACCTACGACATTTTTACAAGCGCCACAAAAAACACCTGCGGCGTTTTTACAAGAGTCGCAAAAAGCATCGCTGAAAATAGCACCGATAAAGTTTACGACGTTTGGTAACAAAAAACGCCGCAATAAGTGTTGATATTTAGCGGCGTTTGTCCTACAAACATCGCAATAGGTGTTGAGAGTTAGCGGCGTTTTTCACACAAGCGCCGCAATAGGTGTTGAGATTTAGCAGCATTTTTCTCACAAAACGCCGCAATAAGTGTTGAGATTTAGCGGTGTATTTCCCATAAATGCCGTAAAATGTGTATGTATATAGCGGCATTTTCTTAAACGCCTCAAAAGGTTTTAGATATTTTGCGGCGTTTTTCGGATACAAACACCGCAAAAGATCTGGTATATAGATGCGTTTTTAGGATACAAACGCCGCTAAAGGTATGGTATATAGCGGCATTTTTATGATACAAACGTCGTAAAATGTATGGTATATAGCGGCGTTTTTTGTTACAAACACCGCTAAAGAACACATAATTTAAACATTTTAAATATTTTCTTCGATTACCCCAAAAAAAATTTCAACCTGTTCCATTATCCAACAAACATGACATCAATAATATCAAACTCTATATCCATAACAAGCAACATCAAATCCAATATAATGAATAAAAGTTTTCATTAACGTAATATCAGTTCAGTTAAACATGGTTCAGTAACATTAATAGACTGTTGATAACATAAATAAGACTATGATAGTGGATTCTGAGGTTGCGTTTTCTGTAACATCTGCATCATATCATCGAGTCATTTTTCAAATTTTTGACATCTCTGTTGATATGCTGATTCTCTCTATGCTGCCGATGCTTTTCTCTGTACTACCGTTGTTTCTCTCTGTGCTTCCGTTGCTGCTCTATGTGCTTCCGTTGCTGCTCTCTCTGCTTCCCTTGTTTCATTTTTGAATTTCATGTTAGCCATTTGTTGATCCATCTAAGCCAGTTTTTGTTTTAAACGACTAACTTCTAATTGGGAAGATTAAGACCATGATGACATGTATTGAGATAAACTGGATCCAAAATATTTGGTGGGAGTAACGAATGATCCTTACAGCGCACCCGGCCTTATCTTTCAGGATCGAAAATGTCATTAATAGCTTGGTTTTCAATGTCATCATCATTAACAAAATCTTAACTCGAAGCAGTAGCATGATACTCCGCCTTTT